GTATTCAAACTGTTAACTGCTCCAATGTTTATTGAACACGAAAGCTTAGGTAGATTTAAGAAATTTGCAAAATTTTCTGTAATTAGATTGACTGTGGATCCGGAATTTAACAAGGCATGAGCTAGGACAAACTTTCCCACGCGATTTTTGACGTCGATCAATGCCGTGGGCAATACTTGAGAATCTAGTGAGAAAGCTACTGATGTATATGCTGGGTAAGCTAGTCATGCAGTCTTGGAAGTCGACTGTTCATTTTTTCCAGAGCTCGCACCCTCTTTGTCTTCAAAATGCAACAATGTGTGATGTGGTTTGTTGCAAATTTTGCACCGCCCCGAATTGGGGCAAGGGGATTGATGATTCCAGAGACAATTCCGACAAATGGATTTTGACTTTGCGAATTCAAATCGCTTAACAGGGTCAAGTTTGAGAAATTCTGGACATCTAAAAAGTCTATGACTGCCCTTGCAGCCTGGGCACAATGGCCTTTTATCAGCTGCTGTTGAGGAATAACCAGGCGCCTCTTTAGTTCAGTGGTAGAGCACTGGTCTCGTAAACCAGGGGTCGTGAGTTCAAACCTCACAGGAGGCACCAAAATGTTTTGTCGCGGAACGACTAAGCTATCATGCCTTAGGTGGCATGACGCCTTTATCTTCTTCTGAACCCTTTGATTCGTTACACACTTGCTATTAATGATTGAAGTGGGGGGAGGTGGTGAAAATTATTTACACTTGCTTAATGGGAAAAAGCCGTCTGGCATAAAAAACCCATGATTTATTGCAATCTTAACAACACTGAACTGACACAAAGAGCAAATTACGCATAAAACGAAGATTCCGTACTTGAAGGAATAACAAAGGAAAGAAAGAAAGAGCGAATGGTACAAATGATGTCGTGTGCTCACACACACACACACACACACACACCGCACTGCACACTGATGAATAATATATTGTGGTCGAGAGAAATCTCAGACACGCAATTTTGATATGAAGGTGTACTCAATACACCCAAAATGAATTGAATGTTTGATTAGCGCCTCAAACGCCGAACGGCTAATGAGTGTGATGCAACACGTGGTGACTTATTGATTTAAGATTAACTTATTAAAACTAACACTTGATTTAAGGTGCGCAATACGTTGTTTTGCGTCTTAACTATTCTGATAAGGGGCGCGAAGGCAACACTATGAACTTACTTTAAAGAAAACTAACCGCTTACTGCGCACGTGTTCACGAGCTGGAAGCCGGAACAGTGACCTTTCGCTACACTGCCTGGCAACCGCGCGGCGAGCCAGCAATTAGCCGCGTCCGGCATGTGCTGCCGCCACGAGGCGCCGCAATCACTCTCATACACTCATACAAATAAAATATTGACGTGTGACGACGGAACAGCTTTTCTTGATAGCCCTAAATCAAAAAACCAGGGTTTGGCTTGATCTCTGTAAAAATTCTTAAAGTAAAAAGTACCCTTTGTAGAGCTTAACTGGAGAGCCAAGTTTTCATTTTCCTTTTTATATTCTTTCTTATATTTGGAGAAAAAGTCCGAAACGGGTATTGGATCGTCCAATAATACCCCATTTTTGGCTGCATCTTTGGCTAGAGAATCGACTATTTCATTACCTTGCACTCCCACGTGTGCAGGTATTCTAACTAACTTAATGTCTATATTAACAATATGCGCATAGGTGAGTTTACACTTTAGATCAATTATAAGGGGAGAATCACAGCGGTCTGAATTTATAGCTTTAAGTGCACTTTCCGAGTCGGAGAAAGTAGTGTAGTTCCCATGACCTATTTCGATTATTCTTTGGATAACAGTGATTAAAGCAGAGCATTCGGCTGTAAAAATGGATGCTGAATCTAATATACGTTTTGCTATACAAAATTCGGGAGCCTTGCTCCAAGACGCAAAACCGACAAATGATTTGTCGTTTTCATCTAGTTTAGAACCGTCCGTGAAAATGTAGGTATTATTTTTGTCTACAGGGTACATATCGTTAAAAAATTTATTTGGATCTTCTCCTTCAGGTATTTTTTTAGAAAAATCTGTAAAAATGTTTGATTTATATAGCAGGTAATTATAGTCTCGAGTATACCTCATATGTTTTTGCGTACTAATAATGGAATCCCTCAAAAACCAGATTTTGTCGTAGCTTTTGGCCATGAGTGAAATTTTGAAATTATTGTGAACAGAGAAATAGTCAGCGAGTTGGATTATGTCTTCGAGGTTATTAATGATTTTTGTTTGATTGGAGGCCATGCATTTTAGGATGTATTTTAGGCAATTAAATTCGATTCTGTTTTGCAAATACGGGATTTTAGATTCGGCAATCATTACGTTAATTAGAGTACTATTCCTGTATCCCATAGCTATTCTGATAGCTGAATTTTGTAGCTTTTGTAGTTTTTCAAAAAGTTTGTTATCGCAGGGAGACATAATAAATCCTCCGTATTCTATTTTTGATCTTATCAGGGCAGTATATAACAAAAGCAGAGACCTCGGATCCGCACCCCACCAGGTGGATCTTAAAAAACTTAATATCCTGAGACTAAATTTACATCTACGAATCAAGTTGTCTACATGTTTGCGCCAAGTAAGGCGACGATCTAGGATCATCCCTAAAAATTTGACATCTTCGGACGGTTCTATGATCGCATCATCAATTTTTAGCTCTATACCTTCATCGGTTCGTTTCCTCGAATTTTCGAAAATCATCAATACGCATTTGTCACGAGCGACCGCTAGACCTCTGTTTTTCAAAAGGGTAACGACGTCACGAACCCCTTCTTCAAGGATGCCAACTTGATCTACACAATCAGATTTAGAGTTGTTATAGACAACCACATCGTCAGCAAATTCCAATACGGTTAGAGGTTTTTTAATAATTTGGTTTATTTTCCTAGTATAAATTGCATAAAGTAAGCAGCTGAGTACGCTACCTTGGGGTAACCCTTTGTTTACTATTTTTTCTATAATTTTCGTGAAGGTGCAAAATGTAACTTTTCTTTCAAAAATTAAGTTTTTTATAAACACAATGATCTTTTTTGTAAGGCCGATTTCAATGAGATCATCAATTATAATGTCTGGAACAACGTCATTGTATGCGCCTTTAACGTCGAGAAATAGTGCTGTGGTTGTGTTTTTAGTGAAAAAGTTTTTTTGAATGTCTGAGGTAAGAATGCTTAGGTTATCTATGCAAGATTTGTTTTTCCGAAATCCAAATTGAGATGGAGACAAAACGTCATGCTTTTCCAGCCACCATTGGAGCCTTTCTTTTATTAGTTTCTCCATAATCTTTAACATACACGAGGCCAGGGAGATAGGTCTGACTTTGTTAGATTTACCCTTAGGAATGAATATAACTAAATAGTTATTCCAATCCTCCGGGAATGTTTGGTGGTGGAAAATGTCATTGTATAAATCGAGCAAAACTCTCTGGTAGAATTCCGGTAATTCAGCTATAATTTCGTATGTTATTTTGTCCAGCCCGGGCGCAGATTTTACATTGACGCTGTTCAAGACGTATTGGAGCTCTTCGTAAGAAAATGGGTTGTCTAAGACTTTAGCATCATTATCCTGGCCATTATCGCCACTCAAATTATTCAAGTCGTCCAAGGCATTGGTGCCTATAGTTTTAGGAGAACTGAGTTCGTCAATTAAATCTATCATATTCGATTCAGTTTTAATGTTCCCTGATTGCACATCTATTTCTTTGAAACTGTTATTAAATATATGAACCGTTCTCCAAAAATCATCGGGCCTTGTTCTTGGATTGACTTTAGCACAGAATGAATCGAAGGATTTTTTTTTCTCTTCTCGCAGAGTTTTAGTCAAGTTGGCATCGAGTCTGTTAGCCTCTATGAATTTTTCTAACGTGTACCTATAGCTAATTGACTTTATCGCAGCTTTTTTTTGTCTCGTTACCTTGTCGCAAAGGTCGTTCCACCAGATGCATTTGTGACCCGTTTTTTTATTTTTGTTTTGCAGAGAAATGTTTTTATCATCCTGATGGGATTTGTTAGATTTGCAAGCTAGGCAATCTCTTATTGAGCAATCTAGAAAATCAGAAAATAACTTATATCTTTGAATAACATTGTGATTGGTAAAATCAATGCTATTGAAATATGACCTTTTTTCTTCTAAAACTCTGTAAAATTTTTCCCAATTTAGTCTTTTCATATTATATCTATAGTTTACTCGGTGTTGGTATGATAATTTTACGTTAAACTCGATACTAATAGGGTAGTGGTCACTTCTCCAACTGTCATCAGTGACGTGCCACTGGCTTTTGGAAAAAAGGTTCGGCGAGCAAAAAGTCAGGTCAATGCATGAGGTGGAATAGCCTGAGTTTGAAAGTGTAAAATGAGTAGAACTATTATCATTAAGTAAACAAAGGTCTTCATAATTCAAACTGTCGGCAATGATATTGCCATTAGGGCAATGTTTATCACTACCCCAAAGGGAGTGGTGGGCATTGAAATCTCCTCCTACAATAAAATATGTGGAGTCGTGATTAATAATTGATTCTATAAAGTTGTTCCATTCACCGGAGGTTAAATTGTTTTGAGCTTTGTTTACTTGCTGAGGTCTGTAACACGCCATAATTAACAATTTTTCGGAGTTAGTCTTAACTATCACAGATCCAGTTTCAAGTACTTTACCCGTATATTCAATTTCTGCTATGTCATAAAATATGTTTTCTTTTACAAGAATGGCTATACCGCCACCTTCGCCAGTTTTTCGGTCAAATCTAATGGTGTTAAAACCTTTTAACTTAAATGATTTGGTATTGTCTAACCATGTTTCGATTAACAGTATTATATCGTACTTATATGCCTCGTTAAAAAAATTATATTTTTTGCCAACACTACGACAATTCCATTGAAGCATTTTTAGTTTTTGGAATGAATTATCCATATTGAAAAGATGATTAAATTGAGTTAAAGCTGAACTTTTGTATATAAAAAATTCTAAAAAATTCTAATCGGATAGTGGATATCCTATTTTTTTCCATTTTTCTTAGGAATTTGAGTTTTGTTTGTCGTAGGGTTGACAGAATTTTTGCCATAAGTTTTTACGTAATCCTTTGAGTTTCTTGGGATTTCAAATCTATGTATTAGTTTATCCGTCATTGAAGGTTCCTGGGGTTGATTCTCACGACTTTGTAGCTGTGGTTGCGTAATGTTAGTTTTCTGTGACTGCTGTTGTTGTACTTTGGTATCCTCTTGTTGTTGCTGTTGCTGTTGTTGAGACTGGAGCAGTAGTTTTTCTGATTAAAGATGTAAGGATGATAAAGCTGGGACCTGGTGTGAAGTTTGTTTTAGATGTAATGGTTCTTGATGTTCGATGTCTTGAGATGATTGAGAATATTGAGATTGAGTTTCTGTTCCAGAAACTACTGACCGACATTTGGAATTTGTTGTGCCTTCAGCGCTTGATGCTGAGTTTCCCATCGTGCTTGGGTTTTCTTCGGGCAGAGGTTTGGTGATCCTAGCAGTGGAAGCAAAGGATTTCTTAGCGTTGACTTTCCTGGCCAGACCAGGAAAAGATTCTTTTGTGTTCAAAGGACCTGTAGGAGAACCAAAAACTAATTGTTTCGCCTCGTAGTAAGATATATTTTCAAAAGCCATTTTTTCATTAACGAAAGCGTGCATTTTGAAAATCTTACAGTCTCTGTTGTTGGATTTGTGTGATTCCTTATAGTTGGCACATCTAGGAAAAAGACCTTGACAAGCTTCGTTTGGGTGATCGGTCTCACCGCACATGGAGCACCTTTTTTTGCCTCGACACTTGTTTGCATAGTGGCCGAATTTGAAACAATTCAGGCACTGCATGACTTTCCTCACGTAAGGTGTCACTTTTGTGATGACATTGTAGATTTTAACTTCAGCGGGCAGGGAGCCAGTTTCAAAGCTGACCAACACAGATGTTGTAGGCAGCCACTTGTCATCGTCATTTGTAGCTTGTCTGTTCCTTGTATTTAGCCTTGTGACTTCTATGACTTTGCTCTCACATTCGATTGCGCCGTGTAGCTCCTTTGTATCGTAGTCGACTGGGATTCCTTTCAAGACACCTTTTCGGATTTTTTTAAAGCCTGGTATAAAAGTAGAAAGACCATTATCATTAAATGCAGTGTCGTTTAAAGAACGACTGGCTTCCTCTCTGTCGCGGAAAATAATTAGGCCCTTGGACCTACCGTCTCTTTTAACCTCAATTACCGTGCGGTATTTATTTGCAACAATCTTTCCTATTTTGTAGATGTCGAAAGGCTTATCAGTCGAGAGACTGTATTTGACCCAAACGTGAAATGGGCCTTTGTGTGCGTTTGAATATCCTGGATTTTCAGGACGCGCATGCGTCGTACTGTCTTTGTCTGCAGGCTTACCGTGTTCAGCATTTTTTCTTTGGGGAGGAATTCCTTCCTGTCTGTTGTGCTTTTTGGCATTTGTGAGTTGTTCTACAGATTCTTCGTAATTATCGTCTCGTGTTCTCTTCAGATTTTTGTCAATATCCATCGGATCTGGAGGTTCGGGCGTCTCGGTATACCGAGCGGTGTCTCTATCGCCTGAGCCGTCCATCTTGGAATGCTGCCCGGCTGACGAAGCCGGGAGCATGTGTAAGGTTGCAACTTTTTGCTTGAGTTGGCTATTAATTCTGTTGTTCACTATCGTTTTCCTTACCTCCGAGAGGCAGGGAAGGAGGCCGAACGAGGTCTTAATGAACTTTACTCAGACTTGAGAGAGAATATACTCGAAAAGTAAAGACTGTTACTCGTCAAGTCGTAGTACGTCCGTTCGCGCCGAGAGCTCGTGCGCGAATCTACGTGATAGAATATTTCTTTTGCGTGAGTGGCGCCATCGGGCGGTGAGGCTAAGTACTTATCGGACCACCCTCGTAGGTTGATGACTTCGAGATGGGGAGCAGACAATGCTCACTCGTCGAAACGTGTCCATCTAACTGTTTGCGTAGGTATAACGAAACACCTCGCCTATGTTCTCCCTATCAGAGGACCTTTTGCCTAGTTCCGAGGAGAGAAGCAAAGGCGTAAGGGATAGAGAAAAAACTGTATTCTTGTAAGTTGTCGATTGATTTTGTAAGATATGAGAGAGCAATGTCTTCCATATCTGGTCTACATCACTCCCAAGTTCTCTTTCACTGCTAAGGAGCTCGACGACTTGCACCGCTTCAAGATAGTTGTCATAAGTTTCAAACGAAAATATAAGATTGAATGAAACTATAATGAAAATATAAGATTGAAACCTTTTTATTTAAACCATCATTTTTACATTGTGATTGTTTTCATTTAGCACATTTCCATAAAATATTTGATGTATGTTCAACTTTAGGATACGTTTACAAGAAGCTTCTGGATTTTTAGAGGAATACGAATGGAATATGTTGGATTTTTTAACTGCGAATAAAAAAACTAACGAAGCTATGGTACGAGCTATTCAGTTACATAACGAAGCATTTGAGTGTGTATAAAAAGCCCTAATATAATATTTATTACAATATCGTTTTACTGTTTTATCCTGATGTTCTTATAGAATGATATCAACGATTGACAACATTGTCAGCTTTACTTTGCTCGTACTGCTAATTTTGAATATGTTTGTGTTTAGTATTGGGTTACATCTGGTTAGGCAGTTTTAAATTCATGGATTATAACACAATGTACATTTACGTTAATTGTTCCCTTTTAGGTTCTGTTGAATAGTGAGCGTCTAATAGATATTTTTAGATATGGTACATTTATCAGTATATTTATTTTACATTTTTTTATCGTATTCTTACACGGCCAAATGATTATCGACTCCAGTTTGTCTGTGTTCGATGCTTGGTAAGTTGACAATGCAGTAACTATATCCCCATACAGCTCATGAGAGATTTACAACCAACTACGTTATCTTAGTTGCAACGTCAAATGGTATCTTGCTTCCCCGAAGACGAGGAGATTGTTATTGATAATGATGATGCGAAGTTCCAGACCATGTGTAATATCCGGTAAAGGCTTCTTCATCATCTCAATGGAAATCTGTACAAAGGTTTGTGTAATTATTATTATTTTTTAGGATTCTTTACATCAGTTTAAATTTTTCCTTATCATTGCAAGATGGTGAAAACCGGCTACTCATATTTCTCCGTATTCTCTCAGAACTAACTTTATTGAAGTCTGGTTCTGATACGTTTTGAACGCCGAGCTGGTGGAAGGACAATGGATATATTTCCGAATTATACTACGTCGAGTTTATTTCTATAATCGCAGTATATGTAATTAGAACTGACTTAAAATATTGGCTTGTAGATAAAAAATTATATTACAAAAAAAATATTTATAGCAGCCGTAACAGGTATCTACGTACATTATTTCGGTTTTCAGATCCTTTGCAACGTATTTGAAAGAACCTAATATATGTTATTTATGTTGATTATTTAAAAAATATACCATAATTTTTTTGAATCTAGTTACTGCAAGCTATATATATAGTGCTGTACAAAATCTTAAGGGACTTCTAAGTTCCCTTTATCACATTTTCGAATTTTAAGCTTTACGCTATCTTGGGTTTTGAATTTTTGAGTAGACGTTCAAAATATTTCTTTCATTCCAAAGATAAATTAATTAATCAAAAAAACATTAATCTAACATAGGTAGTATAGGCTCTGTGGCACTTCCCCCCCCCCCCCCGCGATTTAGACAATTTCTTGACGAGTGATCCACGCCAGTTTAGGCGAGAAATCGCAGTTCTGGCGACAACGAATCCTGAGACTGCGCTAAGCCTCAGCCGCACCTGAGCTGCGTCGTTGCCACGACGTCACAAAATATCTATACATATAATAATTTAAATAGTTTTATTTTGTGAAGTAAAGAAAAACCATCGATTTCATTATTTTAGAAACACTAAAAATTTCTTATCAACATGTCACGATGTAATTTGTTTCTACATTTTATTTAAGCTTTCAAGTTGATCTACCAAAAATTTTAAATAGCTATATTTACGAAGCATGTTTTCACATAGATTTATTTTTTATTTAATTTATTAGAATTAATTTATTTTGAATGAATTTTGAAAAGTTCTCTATTTTTAATTTTTACCATTACTTTGTGACGTCGGTTGACGAAACAATTCTCAGGCGCACTTTTTGGTCTATCCTTGCGGACAATAACCGGGACGTGCGTTACCACTATCGCGGGAAATTCCTTTTTTCGGCGACGGGGGATCGAAGCTTTGCTGTACCACACGCTAGGCAATATAGCAATACTTCGCGTTATTTTACCACACTCTTGGCAATAAAATAACGTAAAGGGAGCCTATCTAATATGCACTCGACCACACGCTTGGCAATCGAGTGTAACTATCTAAGAAAGAAAATCCCGTACGCGAAACTAGGAAGAGTAAGGAGAGAGAAGTTAAAGGAGAGTAGTTAGAATGTAAAAAAATTTTATTTAATTTTTCTTACTCACTTTTATAATGGTTTTCCCACACACACACTAAAAGATTGACTGGGTCTGGACGAACTTGAAGAATAGCTAACGAATTCAAATAAATTGTACGAACTGAATGAACTAAATCTGAGCTACTAACTTTGAACGAACTGAATTTCGAAAAAATTAATAATGTAATGCCTGAATTTTCGTGAAAAGATCTCTTTTATACTTTTTTACAAGAGACTCCCACTCGAAAATCTTTGTCATTTTTGGGCAGGAAGAACTAAAATTTTCTCGACTTAATTGGTTGGAAAATTTGGGGAGTATCTCAGCGTAAGCAAGGTTCGAATCCTAATTGGCCGGGGGCGGAGTGTGCGGGTGTGGCTTCATTTTAGTGTTTTGGGCCCTCTTCGCATAGATGGCCCTCTATGTACTATTCTGGCCTTTATCTATTTAAACTAATTTTATTTAAAATTAATTGTGTGTGTGTGGTACTCTAATTTTACAAAAATGTTTCTTAATCTATAATAAAACTAAATGATAGAACAAAAGTTAAGAATTACATTTATCTAAGAACAATTAGGATATTAATAGTTTTAACTATTAATTGATTATTAAAAAGTTTTGAGAAATGTTGAAAAAAATCAGAGTTAATTGCAACAAACATAATTAATAACTTTCATTCAAGTCATTCTTAATTTGTCTAACGCAAAGTTGAGCGCACCCAACAATTATATATACGAAACTCGTAAAGAAAATGAACCAATAAATACGGGAAGACAAATTTCGCAATTTTTCGAGAGACCTGCAAGCAAATCTGTTTCCTTTAATTTAAAATAAATTAGCAAAAATGAAAATAAATTATTTAAAATAAAATAATAGTACTGTTGGCAGGATGCACATGTGCGCTACAGATCTCTTCTTTCTAAACATGCGCGCAATCTGACTACTCCGGATGACGCGATCGTAAAATCGCCCTGATAATCTCCAGTACCCGAAAGTCGCCAGATGCACGAGCCGAAAACTGCCGTTCACAGGAAAAATCGTTTTTATTCATCCGCACGCAGTTTTTCATCTTAATTTACGAGCTAAATGTGTGGTCGGTATTTTTTTTCTTTATTCTCTCTTTTTTTTTTTTTGAACCGCCGTTACAACTTTTTAAACCCTAAGAATCGCAAAGGGTTAAGAATAAAATAAACTTAGAGCAGTTTTTAAATCTTTTTATATTACGAGCAATGTCTAGCACGCTCATCTTTTTCTTCTTTTTTCATATTCATTTTTATGCATAGTAGAATATGCATAGTAGAATATTATTGATTAAAATATTTAGTGGCGAAATTTAATTCATTAATATAATATGCATTTCAGATTTCTATGAGTTAATATGAGATATAGCCAAGAATATTATTTATTGGTAAATAAATATGCATGTGATGTTGATACTCATGATTTAAAAACGATATTAATAGAATTTTAAATTTTTATGACATAAATAGCATACTTCGGTAAAGTTCATAGTTATAATTAATGTATTTTCAAACAAATATTCTAATATTTTACGTAATTGAATAAAAACGACATTAATGTACAATATTTTATCTTGATAATTTATCGATTTCTATTTTTCATTGCGTATTCCCTTTTTACGAAGCTATAATTTCCTGTCGATCAAGTAAAACCCAATTAATTTTTCTATCAAGGTATTAGTCATTAACTATTGAGGTTAGTATGATTAAATCAATCAAATTATATGAAATTAATGCCAACTATAATGATATACATATTTTATAAGCGTTTAATTTGTTATAAAAATCTGCAGTAATCTTACATATAACCATACGCAACATATGTAGGGTGAACCATTTTAAAAGGTGGATCTGAATAACTTATACAATCCGAAAAAATTATTCAGCTGATCACGTGACTATCTTTCCACCAACCAGATAACGAATAAACTGCCTTCACTTTTCAGACCATTTAAAAAAAAGTAGGAGAGGTTTTAACCCTATGGAATATGGAACAAGGTCAAGTCATTCTGTTGCTACTTTATTAATTACTAGTGTCATTAAGCGAGTTTCGCGCGCTTATCTCTCGTTTGTGATAATGTTGAATTTTATGTTTAAATCAAAGCAAAGCTATTGTAAAATACAC